TGGTGTTAGCCAGAATTCTTATGGAAATTTCAGATATGCCCACCCTGGAGTGAGACCATGACTGCAGCTTATGTATCCGTACCCAAGCTAGCTTTTGGATAAATTGTTCAATCTGATATAACCACAATGGGAATGGGCTCATGCTGAAAAAAAACCCCTCAAAACAATAAAACCCCAAACATCTCCGTGCTATGTTTGGTGCTTCTTCTTTTCAACTGCTACAACCAGAACTTTAATTGGTTGCTTTATTCAATGTAGTTAGATACAGCTTCAACACTTAGATGTTAAAGGAATATCTTTCCCGTTACATGTGGCTTTCTCCTTCCAATAAATGCTTCAGTACCAGAAGTTCTTGATGATCTTAATTTTGTACCTAGGTTCTGAGTATGACGGTGTATTTCTAACTACCTTTCTCTTTTGCTTAGGCCAAGTACACAGAGTATGAAATAATGTTGCAAGATAAGTAGAATAGTCTTGGGGTTTTTAATAACAAAAGAAAAAAGTGACAGTAACAAAGATGCTATCAGTGGTGTAGGAGTGGTCAGAATGGATTTTTCTGTCTAGAATATCAAAAGTAACAAGTAACTATGTCCCATGGGCACCAACTTTCCAAATGCCAGACTATTCATAGTGATTTCTTTTGGAAAAATGCACCTTAAATGATGAAACAAAAAAGTTCCTGGTTCAATATTTACTCAATGAAGGAGTTATAACAATGCTGCTGTTCCTTTTATTACTCAGGGCCAAATTCAGTTCTACAGGTCCCAATGTAATCCAACTCCTTTTGTATTTGATGGAATGAGTAAAACAGACTAAGAGTAACCAGGTGGGAAATTTTACTAAATTATAATTTAGTAGGAAGCCTTTTAAACACCAGCCAGATCAGCAGGATTTCAACATTCTTCTCTGTATGCCATGAAGTCTCAATATATAAAGCTTATGTGTTCATATTTTATGACTAAAATATAATTACATGCATAAATCTTTATAAACAGAGACTTCAGGGCAGAAAACTTATCTGTGTATAACTTCTGCAGTATTTCTGAGACTATATTGTCTTAGTTTCGTACAGACGCTTCAAACAATAGAGTTTTATGCAATTTTTCATTTGAATTTAAAATTTTCATAAGCAGGTAACTGCAAATAGAAATTATTGTATCCCTCATGGCATTTGTTGATCATAGGAAGGCACTGAGGTCTCTATAATCTATAATCTATAACAGAAGGTCTTAAAATTCTTCTGGCAGAAATTCTCATTCCTGCAAACAGCAGCTAGAGTGGGATCAGCAGGTAACTTATAGATTATGTTCTGTAGGCCCTCCAGTCCCCGTTTGTCATGGGAATAGCTCATCAGTTGATAAAGAAATGAAAGCAGTAGGAACCAGGAAAAGAGAGGGAAGAAAAAGCCAGATATTTCTGCACTGGACCTCTCCCTTTCTCTGCACTCAGTGGAAGATTATATATTCATTTTTTCCCCTGATTTTGGGATGGAGTTTAAAATATTACTGTGGCTGTCCCATCCTAGTCTTTGCCCCATGCACAGACTTGTAATGTTTTTTTCAACTGCTTGTCTTTTTATTGAAGGTTGAGATGTGAAGTTCACATTTCTTCACATGGCAGAATTTTATTCACTCTTTTTTTTTTTTTCCCCCTGCTTTATTACTTTACTATTATTCATACTGTATTTTGCAAATGCATTCATATACATTGTCTGGAAGTCTTAAAGTTTCTGTTTTTGTTTTATTTTTTTTCTCTTGAACAGGAAATTCTCTTAGATGAAATACTTCTGATTTAAAAAAAATGTAAAAAAACCCCAGGAAATGGTTCTTGCAACACCTCATGGAAAGGCTTGATTTATTTTTCAGTCACATCATAAGAGTGATAGTGAAAATCATCAATAAATGTCAAAAATCTTTTACATTTACTTGCTGAAATTTGTCATTGCTGCAGGGAAAAGAGTTTTAACATACGGACTGTAATCTGGATGCCTTGTCCATATTCTCTATTTTCTCTTCCCTTTTATGCTACCTTTATCATCCATAGATCAGACAATGATACTTTTAGCCACTTCAGGTGCTTCTGGGTGCATTTTCAATTGCTGGGACTTGCAATCCAGCTTGTATCAGGAAAAAAAAATCTAGGAGCAAATAAAATCCTAGGAAATAATATCGCTACTATGCTTCTTTTGTTCTCTTAATAACTACTTGAATCAGTATAAACAGCATTAAAAATTACATTTTTCAAATATCAGATTATTAAGTGTACTCATTGTTTGTTGCAAAATGTGAATCAATTAATTTCAATCATTCTAAGTCATTCAGAAATATAATAGAACTACAGCACTGAATGCTAGCTTTTTCATGTGTATAAAATTTTAAATGTTTAACAGGAGCAGTATGCAATGCTGGTCATTGATCCTTATTTGTGAGATTACCATTTTTAAGACAAGCTAATAAGTTATAACAAATGCAAATATTGGAGTAGAAATACCAAAGGGCCTGTAATCTGTCCACTCCACAACTATTTGTGCACAATTTTGCAAATCACCAACAGTAAGTGATACTGTTGAACTGAATCACTATTAACTGCATGCTTCTAATGCAATCCTTGTAAACTTTACTAGTTGTAGATAGCCTGTGCTTTATGGTTTCTATCCATGAATGCTGTGGTTAATTCATTTTTTAAGTGCTTCAAATGGTTAGAACTATATGTGTACAAATCTGGTCCCTAGAATATATAAATAATACATGAAGAATAGTTGGTATTGACTCTATTTAGACCAACAGAAAGTGTGGAAATCAGTTTAATTAGAAAGCAGCCTGTCATATCAGAAGATGGCTTAAACTGGGTCCAAAGTTATTTCTCAGAATCTAATGTTATTTAAGTTGTTGTTGTTAAATATTTGTAGGCACTGTAACACTGAAAATATCCCCAAAAGATTATAGTATGCACTTACACTTCCCCAGGCTCTACTGGACTAATAATTTTCCTTCTTCCATCTGACTGAAGAAATGTGTCAACTACAGGGTTTTGCAGAGTTTCAGCATAATCAGGATGGTCCGAAACAGTGTAACTTAGGCCCCTGCATGCACCAGAGAGTAGAAAAGAGTTTGTTTTCGTAGAAAAGATTTTGTTTTCCTTTCTTTCTGCTTCTCCTGTAGTCCTGTGAACACACAGTTTATCTACTAGTATAGAACATCATTCTTTTCTAAGCATAGATGATAAAAGCAGAAGTTCTTGCAATGTAAATACTTTGAGGCCAGCTTTTCCCACATTTTATTCTGGAATAAAGGAAAAGCTCAGTGTTTTGCAATTAATTGTCCTTTCTGTGTTTTACTTCCATGCTGGCACAGCCACCCTTTGCTATTAGCTTTATTCTCATGATAAGTTCTAGATATGTAAGAACAAATTGAAGAAATAAATAAATTGAAAGAAATTCCAAAAGAAAAAAGAGTGTGAAGAGTATAAAATATCCTATCCATGCAGCCCCTTCACAGTGGATCATAGTACACAAAATAGTCAAACAGGCAGCATCTCTCTAAAGGATGCTGAGGATTTTTTTAAGGTATCAAGTTAATGAAAATGCATTTTATTACTCATCCAAAGGAAACATTGTAAAAATTATAGCTAGGAAGTAGCATTATTATGACAGAAAGAAAAAGAGGAGGGATTCTTTGTAGAATTGCATTCATATCACATGAAAGAGGGGATGCCATAACTTTTCATCTACTCTTTTTTTTTCTTTTACTTTTTTCTGGGATTTCTTAACCACTTTAATGAAGACTCTTTTGTTCCTGTTTTCGAAGGAGGAGAAGAAAAATGATGACTTTGTTCTCTCCTTAAACACTGCACAAATCTTAACATAGAAAGCGCTTCTAGCTGATATGATTTACTCTCTAAAAGTAAAAGAAAAGCTTTCTCCATTGGCATTATTCATTAATTAATGTAGATTTTAAAGTACTCATTGAAAAGTCCTTATGCACTATATAAAGAAAAAGAGAGCAGATTACATACAAAGATACGACACTAGTCTTTGAACTGCCCCTTGAAATATTGAAATGTTCAAAATCTCCAAAATTATCATGCCATTTTAAAATACTGAGTTATGAGAAAGAAATAAATACATTAAAACATGAAAATTTCCATCCCTGTTATCCAAACACACTTATCCTTATCTTTCTGAATGCATTGTTACCTGGTATTGTTAATAAATAAGTAAGTGCTTGGAAGGTATCTTAAGTCCCTTACACTCTATCAAACAGAGACTTTTGTGGCTTGGTCCTGAAGCATAAAATGTTGTTTCTTCTTTTAGTAAAGTAATAGTATAAAGTGTTCATTACATATCAGACCTTGGATTAGCTTTAGGGTAACAAGCCAGGAAGCAACAGTCTGTAGATTTATGTGTATTAGACTAAATCTACTGCAGCATAATTAAAAGCCCGATGGAAATTGAAAAGTTGAATACTAGTTGACTGGATATAATAATTGGGCATGAAGATGTATGAGACTGTGGGACTAAGTGTGATAGGACTTGTTGCATCAAGTTGCCTGGCTTATAGGCAATACCAGCTGGATCAAGTTTTGTGCATATATATTGATATGTGTGTGCATCTGTGGGTGTGTATTTATGTGACCAATGTGACTGTGGTGAGAAGTAAATGACTTTTTGATAACTGTTTTGGTTGTAACATGTTATGAGGGTGACAGAGCACTGGAGCAGGTTGCCCAGAGAGGTTGTGGAGTCTCCTTCTCTGGAGATATTCAAAACCTGCCTGGATGCCATCCTGTGCAACCTGCTTTAGGTGATCCTGCTTTAGCAGGGGGGTTGGACTAGATGATCTCCAGAGGTCCCTTCCAACCTGTACCAATCTGTGAATCGGTGATTCTGTAGAGGATATAGTTTTTCCTGTGACATTACATTACAGTTTATTGTTATCAGTAATAACTAACTTTCCTTAAAATATACCCCATGCAATATAAGTCCCCTGTGGTCTCTTTAGGTTCTCCATACAGAGACAAGATCACTATAGCAATTCTTCAGCTGCAAGAGGAGGGCAAGCTCCACATGATGAAAGAGAAATGGTGGCGAGGCAATGGCTGCCCAGAGGAGGAAAGTAAAGAAGCCAGTGCTTTGGGAGTTCAAAATATTGGAGGAATCTTCATCGTGCTGGCAGCAGGATTGGTGCTTTCTGTCTTTGTGGCAGTGGGGGAGTTTTTGTACAAATCAAAAAAAAATGCCCAGTTGGAAAAGGTAAATATTGTATTTTCCTATTTTATTTTATATTTATGGTCCATTTGGATAATACTTCAGTGATTTGGTAGTGAAATGTAGGTGATGCTTACTGATTGTTTATTGCATAGTACTTGTATAACAACGGATCACAGCAAATTACCCAAAGTTTTACATTTACAGCTTTTAATTTGTCTTCAATGTGTTTAATTGTAGCCAGATTTCAGGACAAGTGACTATTTCTCCTCTTATTCAAGCCTGAAAAAAGACAGCTTTTTACTCCTGGAAGTTCACTGCAGTTAATTTATGGATGAAGAAGAAATCCGAAACTGTAATGGGAAACAAATTAATCTTCTACAGATAATTCTGATTTTCAAAAGACAAACTGTCTGTAGCTTAAAGTTAAAATCTAAATATGTCTCTATAGAAATGTTCTTTACAAACGTTTATACTTGCAAAGTTGTCCTGGTAGCATCTGGAAAAGATTACATCAGCATGATTTTTTTTTTGGTGGGTTTACTACTGATATGGTGTTCTGTAATTTCAAACTGGCTCAGTTTTGAAAATTCTAGTGTTAATTTGTTCGGTACTTGCAATTTATACAACCACTGTAATTGTGCCAACAAGAGTAATATTTGGTGACATTCCTAGTTGGAATTATCATTTTTGTGTAATAAATAAATAAATGAATAAATCATTCTCTATATATGTGCCCATGTTTAAACCTAAATTCAACTTATATATTTTATTGCTATGACAAATTCTGAATTTTAAAAATTGAAACTGTTGGATTTTACTGGGTCTTTTTCTTTTTTCTTCTTCTTTTGAGGAGCTCATGACCTACAGCAATTTCTATATTTTTGCTTAGAAAATTAATTGAATAAAATCAGTAGTAAATCCAACAGCTATATTTATATTGGTATTTTTCCAGATGCTACAGGTGAATTTTTGTAACTTCAATTATTACTCAGAAAATTTACAATTTGTTTTCACTTTTGAGTCAACCTTTTGGTATGCAAGTGTCCTGTTAAAATATATTGTTAAAGAAGGGTTTTTTTTTTCTAATATACACAAAGGCAGTGTGTGGATACAAGGTTCTAAACATATTTTGAACATGGGTACATTTTATTAAATTGTTAAAGGACCAGTTAGATCCTCCTCTGTATGATGCTACAGGCTAATTCCTTTCTGTTAACATACTATTGGAATGTTATGTTTCTGAAATGAATTTGTGAGGGAAAACATACCAGTTACTTAAGTAATCCATTTAAGTCTCAATAATTTTTATCCATTCCTAAGGTGGATATGGATTTCATACGGACATCAGTATAATTTGGTTTAGCTTTTCTGGGTTTTTAACAAGGACTCACTTAGAAGAATAGGATTGTTTTGATAATAATCTTGTAACATGAGTGCAGTATTTTGCAGGGTGTGAACGCATATCTTTCGTGACAATAACAGCATGTTGGAAGGTGTGTGAGAAAGCAAACAGAAACTTTTAAATTAAGGATTTGTTTCTCTAAGCCCTATGGTTTTGTTTGTTTGTTTTATTTGCTTTTTTAATTTTTGGTTGTTAATGATGGTAAACAATGACTGGAGGTATCTGACCTTTTAATGGTACTTGTACTAGAAAGGTCTTATCATATCATCAAGTATTGAGATACTTTAAAAAGTCAGGACTGAATCTGAAGCACCTGAAAGAGTTGGGTCTCTCTCCTCTCTTTCCTCCTTGTCGCCAATCTCTTCTCTTCTCTCCCCTGTCGAGAATACCTACATAACCCTGATGTCAGGAGACCAGTAAAATTTCAGTAGAACTTTACTTACAGAATGAAATTAACAGAAAAATGATGTCAGCATCCCTACACATGGCCTACCCTAGAATCCACTTTCACACTCTTCTCCCAGCACCCACCCACAGACCTTCAGTGAATGTCTTTGTTCATCCCCGCCAAACGTAGCAGATCCCCTTTGCCTAGGAGAGGGAGTAGCAGCAGCCAAAGGGGAGATAAGCAGTACTGTCATCTGTCTCCAGTTTCTGTATCTCCTCTGCTGGGATGAGTAAACCATGCAAGTAACGCTGCCTTGGCTATCCTACAGGGAGAGAGGAGGCACTCATTTTTGGTAACATTTATAGTTTCATGCCTTTAGAATCGGAGTGTCATTCTGGCATTTTTATAATGCTTGTCAGCATTTGGAGACAGAGAAAATCAAAGGTCATATTAACACCCAAGGAAACAAAAGAAATCAGATAACTTCACTGCCGAATCTATGGAGTATCCTGAAATATAAATGGACATATCAACATGTATGTCTGCTTTTTGATGTATACAAAATATACAGTTGCACTTCCAGTGGGGAGGCAATGCAGATTTAAAGTGTATAATCTAGATATATTTTCTTAGCATTTTCAATGTCACCCTCCCTCCTGGAGTGCACACATAAACAGAGACATTGGCTGCTGTAAACCCAGAGGAGTGAAATCTTGAAAGGATTTGAGCTCAGAAAAGCAGTAGACAAAATTGTGTTATTTGCTAAAAAACTGTTGCAGCTTGTAGCCAAAGTGATCCAGAACATCCATACTCCTCATGTGCTCAAAAATCCAAAGGAAATATATGACACTATCTGTAGCCTTTCTGAGAAACAGATGAATGCCTGCTATCGCAACACTTTCTAGACACAGAGAAATTCCTGTTTTATTGACACCTTTCAAAAGCAAAGATAAGCCTGAATGTTATCACAGTTAGACTGTCAGTCACTAGTTACTATGACTAGTTTGTTTGAAAATTTACTGTCTTAATTTACTAAGGATTTTCTGGATGATCCAGATCTGATGGATGTGAAAAGAACAATATATGGATTCATTTATAGCCATTCAAAACTCATTGAGCCATCAGCAGGTCAGAACTACATCTGCTTGTGAAAAAATAGCAGATGTACATTTTATTAATTTTGAACTGTTAAGTACTTCAAAAAGTGTGAAGCAAGACACATGTCATTGTACCTTAACTGTTTGTTTCACTAGGGGCGATCTGTCATAGACTTCCTATAATACAAAATACTAGGTTAAATCTGAAAGTGTACTGAAACAATAAGATCAACAAAGTATTTCTGGAGTCATACAATCAAATAATAACCTAAATGTTAGTTAAATTAGCCACTCTGGAATATTTATTTATAATTTATTATAAAAACAATAACTAAATTGATACTTGATTATATTTTATATACATTTCCCAAGGAAGACAAAAACAATTGAACTTTCCATGGTAAATAATTCACTGCTTAGCTACACAATTGAGTTGAGAAAGATCAGTCTGGATAGTTTATCTCACAAGGTACAATGAATTAGCATTTAGCAGGTCTGGACCCAAAGCAGACATCAGTAGCTGTGAATATACACGTGTGTTACATACAAAACAGTGTTTTACTTACAACTGCAGTTTCTATTGAACAAGAAATTCTGAATGCTGAACTGTGACCTGCACAGGAGACTAACCATGTCTTGGAGAATGACACAAACTTAACCAGTTGACTCTTGCCCAAAATAAATTGTTAAGAAAGATTTCAAACAGCTTCTGCAAAATGCAGAATCCATGTTTTGGTTTTGATAATGTAAGGATAGCAGGAATAGAAGTTTCTGACCTTACTGGCTCAAAAATTCATGCATTTTTACTGAGCTGCAGAGACTTTGGGTTATGGTAGTATTTGATCTTAAACTTATTAGAAATTGTGTTTTTGCTATAATTGACAATAATTCTGAATTTGCTGTCTACCTAAACACACTTTTGAGTAGTGTGATAACCTGAATTGTATTTTGAGGTAAAGAACTCCTTTAGTCCTACCTAGTATATAGTCTCACTGATTTTTTTTCAGTGGGTGTATTGGGAATGATAAAGCATTGTCCTTGTCTATAGAATTTTGACATTCCACTTGACACATCGGGAAGGGGTAGCAGGACATGGCAGGTCAGAGGCTGTCCTGACTGCATTCTTGCAGAGTAACCACAAGATGGTGCCTTCTAATTTCTCAGAAGGAAATTATATTGTTACTTTTTAATAGAATTTATGTCACAATGCTCACCTATTTTTTAATTGCAGCCTTTCTAAAAATGGTAAATGAATGTATTATTTCATATTGTTTATAATACAAACATCTAATTATGTCATCTGCTTGGAAACATGTTATGAAGCAGACCTTTTTTATCTAGCCAATCTTGACAATAAATGCTCAGTCATTTGCATTTTATAATTGCTTTTGCTAGTGAATGACCTGCTCCCTTATTTTAACAGGCACTCAGAGGGCAGTGAATAAGCAATGTTAGAAACAAAAGCCATTTAAAACAATTACTATGTTATTTTTTTTTTTATTATTTTTTTTGTGATGATGTGCTTCAATGTGTTACAGGTTTATGTCCATTTCATGCATTTAATTTTGTGTAGCTCATATTATTATCATAAGGGCCAGGGAAAACATTGACCTTGAAGACCATTAATATTTAACATAACATATTGATGATTCTCAGTTTATGAATTTATTGACCTTTTTTTTTTTTTACAAGTCTTTTCTGAGATTACTTCCGTTTTGATTCCACTTTCACAAAGTGATTAGATATTACCATAAATGTCAGCTCTGTGGTTAAAACTACATGTGCGCTGCTGAAAACTTTAGGATGAAATTCACAGTATTGCTGAAGTCAGCGTCAAGAATGTATAGAACATTGCTTGTTGTCACCCTTGCAAATCGTTGTCCTTGTGCCTTGGTCAGGTTTTCTTTGGAGAAGGTGGTTTTGTCTTGAGAATTTATCTCGAAATCTGGTTTTACTGATGCAGTGAACTCACACCTTTCCCAAGAGGCAAGGAGGGGCCAAGGGCTGCTAGACTGAAAAAGCTGTTGTGCTGTAACCATATACAGTTGACACCACACCCTGATTGTGCTTCTCTCAAATACAATTTAACTGTTCTGAATTTGTTTACATGAAGCTAGCGTAAATGCTAACATGAGTTTATTTGTCAAGGTCCTTC